TGTTTTTTAGTCCCATTTAATTGTGAATGCCCCAGAGACAGGGTTTATTATTCCTTCAGGGAATCTTATCAGGGAGAGATTCTCAATCAAATCAATCAAGTTTTTCTTACTATTTTCCCATCCTTCCAGCTTCTTCAACATCTTTCYTGTTGTCATTAACTTCTCCCCCTATTGTGCTCATGCTTGTTTTTTAGTTAGAAATTAAAACTTTGCCTGCAGAGTAGTTTTCCAGAGTACCGATATTTTTTTTCTGGTGAATCTATTTCTAATCTTGTCTTTGCTAAAGGGAAGCATGGCAAAGAATATTTTCAAATKAGTTTCTTGATTTGAGAAATCTGTGAAGAAAAAGAAGAAAAAATTGAGAGGCTTGAATTATGCAAATTAACTTATTTCAGAACTTCCAAAAACTTTTTTTCCACATTTCTGTTCAGAAAAATATTGAATTTTAAAATATTAATGGAATTTGTAGGATAGAAAACTTAAATGTTTCCACCAGAAAATAACTATTTTGGGAATTCCTGAAATAATACATATTGATTGCTTTAATTAATGATAGTAAATAATAATAATAAAACTATATATGAATCTGAAGAATTAAGACAAGCTCAAGAATTGAGACATTTGTCTCAGGATGGGGACAAAACTACTGCAGTAAATCCTGGCTTAAGTGCACATTAAATCTCTTTTGTTTTTTCATTACTTTTATAGAATCACAGAATAGTTTGGGTTTGAAGGGAGCTTAAAGTTCATTTTGTTCAACCCCTTGCCATGGGCAGAAACACATTCCACTATCCCAGATTGCTCCAAGTTCCTCCAATCTTGCCTTGGACAGTTCCAGATTTGGAGCAGCCACCTGGACAATTCTTTTCAGTGGTTTAAATAAATCTTTTCCTTATCCACTCTGTACCACAGCCCATCCTCTATCAGCTCATAACAGCAAAAACAAATTCCTTAGACGAGTTGTAAGTTTTGCCATTAACAACACCTGTATCAATGTACATTCCTGARTTCCATTTAATAATTCACTCCTTTGCTTGCATATCCTTGGAACACTACAATTTATAAACAGTTTTTTAGCATCTGTGTTTCAGGATGTGGTTACATGAGGACAGAAAGGAGCTGGCTCTTTTCTTACAAGCAAAGTTTGTTTACTTTTTGTAAAAACTTATGCAAACCACTCGAAGTCCTTTTGCTGACTTGAATGTTTGGCAAATTTGGTCCATGCCCTGCATCCAGCCAACCACCACCCCCTTCTGCCTTTAAAACAGTTGGTTATTTAAAAGATGACTTTTTTTTCTTGGACTTTTGAAAAACAGTGTTGCGCAGTCTTGAAAGACAGCCCAGTCCACTGAATTATTGTACAGGACAAGATCAGTTCTCAAAGTGTTGTTACCAAAAGCCAGCACAGTTCCCCAAGTCTGGCTTTTGATTATTGATACAGCCGAGGGAAAAGTTCATTTAAATATAAAAATAATAATCCACTGTTAAAAGAGTTCAGCAACTTGCAGAAGATTTTTTTTAATTAATGGTGCCTAAGGTGGCTGATTCCTTTAACACTTCAATCCTGAAAAAGAGCAACAAAACAAACAGCCCCTAAATGCTGGTCAGAGCAGGGATTTGTTTGCAGAGTGAGCTGCTGCATCCAGCAGAAAAGTTTGAAACCTTCAGGGTCATCAAACCACCCTGATCATCACCCTCCTGACAAAGCTCTGACTTTTGGCTTTCTAGTTGGGTTGATTTTGGTGGAGCTTTGGGCAAGGGAGGTGGTTCTACCCCTCTGCTCCACTCTCATAAGAMTCCACCCCGAGCAGTGTCCAGCTCTGGTGTCCCCAGAAAAAAACATTGAATTATCAAAGTGAGGAGGAGGCCAGGAGGATGATCAGAGGGATGGATCAGCTCTGCTGTGAGGAAAGAATGGGAAAATTGGGATTGGTCAGCCTGGAGAAGAGRAGGCTGTGAGGAGACCTTAGAACATCTCTCAATGCCTAAAGGGGCTCCAGGAGAGCTGGGGAGGGACTCTGGACAAGGGTCTGGAGGGACAGGACAGGGGGCAATGGCTTCAAAGTGACACAAGGTCRATTTTTGTCAGATATGAGGAAGAATTTCTTCCCTGTGAGGGTGGTGAGGTCCTTTCAGGTCACCCAGAGAAGCTGTGGCTGTTCCTGGATCCCTGGAASTGTCCAAGGCCAGGTTGGATGTGGCTCTGAGCAACCTGGGACAGTGGAAGGTGTCCCTTCCCCATGGCAGGGGGTGGAATGGGATGAGCTTTAAGGTCCTTCCAATCCAATCACTCTATGTTTTTAACTTGGACACTTCAGAACATTCCATTATATGGTATTTTCAGGAACCTGAAGGCCTCTGAAAGTCCTGGCCTTGCCTACCTGATCCTCTGTTTTGTTGAGTAAATCACATTGTGAACTCCATCCTTTCCTAGCTTTTCAGAAAAGCTGCGTAATTTCTGAGCTACATTTTGGTGCTGCTGTAACTCCTCTCCTTTCTCCCCACTTTGTGTATCTGATGGTGGGGTGAGAAGGAGAGGAAGAAGGAGCAATGGCCAAGAATCACAGATCCAATTAGGTTGGAAAAAAACCTCTGGGGTGATCAAGTCCAACCATTAACCCAGCACTACAGCTTGCTCACCACTAAACCATAAGTTGAATCCTATAGCTCCCCACATTGAAATGCTACCAAAATCAGCGACTGTCAGCAGCAAAACCAAGGTAAAAAAAAATGTTTCTCCCCACCAACCTTTTCTATTGCTTCTTCCTCCTATGCAAGGGGAGGTTTAGAGCAAATGTCTGCTGGCATAACTGGCACATATATCGAATCTGCTTAGTCTGGGCTGTTAAGTAAGTTTAATTAATTTCCTAAGTTAATGTTCCAATGTTAGCAACAAAGCATCATTGCAATCAGCTGGGTAGCAGGAATTGGAACCCCTAAATGAGCTCATTTTTTCACAGTTGGAATTAGGGACCAGTTAGCCAGTTGTGTGGTTTTTCCAATTTCTCCCCTTGCCCTAGGGGAGTTGCAAGTTATTCATTCCCCATTGCTAAGTGTGAGTAAGATGGGGAGGGGGCAGACACGAACAAACCCCACTCCTTGTAGGAGTCCATCTTTGCTCCCAAAGATGATTCCCTCGCTGCTGTCTGAGCTTATCCTCCTGCTCTGGCCCTAGAATGGCATTTGTTCCTGTTTGTGATGGTTTGGGGAAGGAGAAAAGCATCGCTGAGAGATATTTACTGCGTGTATTTTCGTCCTGAGCGTGTGCAGATAAAGGGGGGAAAAAAACAAATAAACAATAAAAGAATGGAAACAAAATTACAGAAATTTGCAAAGTTTGACAAATGGTGGCCAGGAGTTGCCACAAGCTAATGGCTTGCAATGATTAATAAGAGTAAAAATAATTGCATTTCATTAAGATTGATGACACCCCATTTAACCTCCCTTCTCGTTTCAGCCCTAAAGTGGAAAGAGATGAAGTTCTCATCTATAATAGCTCCTGTAACATTACCATGGAAACTGAGGCAGAGATGGAGTGTGAGGGAGCTAATCAGCCAATTACTGCCAAGATTACTGAGATATGGAAAAACTGGGGCCAGAACACTCAGGTATAATCAAATCTTTTTTACAGACTGATTCAAACAGCTTAAAATTAAATTTGTAATATTGTGTACATTTAAAGGGGGCAAGAAAAAAAAAAACAATTTAGGCTGAGCAGCAGCAATATATAATATTAAATGCTTTCCAACTTTGAATAGCAGTCCTAATGCAGCRCAGCTGAATTAATGGTTAACTAAGGTTAATCATGTATTTCATGAGACATAAATGAGCTTTACCTTATTTTCTGAACCATGTATATATTTTTTAACACTCTTCTTTTTTTTTTTCTTTAATATAAATTCAATTTTGTTCTTAAAGTGTTATTTTCTGTTGAGCAGAAATCTTAGCCATGAGGTACACTTTCAGGTCTCTGGCAGAGACTCAGCATTCAGCATTTGTTCAGCCCTGGCTATATTTGATTTTTGCAGCTTTTCAGAAGTAAAATGGGACAGTCTTCCCAGTGCTGTCTCTGGGTATAGCAAGAGAAGAAGACATGGGTGCATGACAAAAAAAACCTGTAACTCTGAACCAGCATAAAATTTAAGACTTTTACCTAAAAGTGTCACTGCAAACCTGAAATGTCCTTTTAGAGTACTCACAGTTTTGCAGTTTTTGGGTGTGTTTAGCCACCTGTAAGAAGAAATTTAAAGGGGTTGGGTATTTGTTGAACACCAAATATCCCTTAGTCGTTATCTTTTCCTGAGAAGTGGTGGAGACCTCCTGAATGCAGGGAAATGTGAGTGGGAATAGTTATGCACCTGACATGATAAAAAGCAAATTTTTTTTTTAATCTATTAAATAAAACTATCACTCAATTTTTAACACTATTTAAACTTAGGGAAGTGAAGTCCATTTCCTCAGCATCAATATTAAAACTACCTTAGTAACTTTTAACTCTATCTGCAAAGAGATTTCCTGGATTTAAGGAATCTRAATTCACTTTGCCACCCCAAAAGTAGCTGCAGTGTCCTGGCAGAGTAATTTTGGTGCATTTCTAGTGTTGAATTTTGCAATTAAACGTATACATCTGATCTATTCCATATTCAGGAGTCGCTGAATACTTGCAAATCTACCTTACATGAATGTAACTATTGTGGTGTAGTATCCTAAATTACAATACCTTCYTCCTGTAAAGGCTGTCCTTGGTCTGTGAAGGAATGTCRGATGCAGAATGTTGCTTATTAGGGYTCATTTGCTCATCAGCCTTGTTAATTATGGCACCTAAACCATACCCAGCTAAGGAGAAAGAAAACCCCAAAAATTGCTGGTTGGTTGCTCTAGGATGCCAACAAAGGGAAGTGCCCAAGCAAGCACCAGATCAAATGGTAACTGCTCCTTATATTCCTGCTTTCCTTCCCAAATGGGAATAGGGCATCATCTCCAGAGCCCCAAAGCCTGGAATGCATCTTGGAGGGCAGCTCAGCTGTGTCACGGGTCCTGTCACCTCAGTCATGACARGGTGACAGGCTGTCTTTTAACTCAGGTGGGAGCAAGAACAGGAAGGAGCAGCGAGGTTTGTCCCTACTGTGTTTTTTCTGCTCAGAGTAGGGAAAACCAAGGAAGTCCTAAGTGTCCTGAACGAACAAATTCATTCAAAGCAGGATCTGGGATTTGCTGCTACTTAATGAACCCAATGGGCATTCAGAATCATTTTATCCCTCTTCCCAAAACTGGCTTGGGTGAGCAGAGGTGGATGGGTGGGGAGTTCAGATAAATGGCTTCAATTTTGGTCCCTTTCTGGCTGACAGCATCCCGYGAAGATTTACGACCTGGCGCGGCGCGTGCACGCTCCGCTGTGGAGGTTTAAATCATGTCATGTGAGCTGGCCTTACCTTTCCAGTGGAAAAAATGGTCCCCAGGTTCAGCACTGAGCAGTGAAAGGCATTAATAGCACCACGTGCCTTAGGATAATGGTGCTATTAGCAGGCAGCACAACTCTGCGTTCCAGTAATGGGGCTGCATCTCTTTATAATAACATCTGGCACCTCTCTTGCACGCTCGTGCAAGGATCTCAAAGCATTCCATAAAAAAGGGGCTTGATCCTGCTCTCTGCACAGCTGCACTGCTCAGTGGTTTGTTTTCTGCTGCCTCTTCTGTCAGCTGAAGGGTGCCTGGGGAGGCTGAGAACTCAGCCTAGCTGGGCTTTGTGGGAGGGTGGTTTGATGATGATGATGATGATGATGATGGAGCAGGATTTGCTCCAGGATGGTATTGGAAGTGAGGAGAGGTAATGTAGAAAGGCTGGCAGAGTCTTATGGCATGGAATGAATGGGCACTGGCAAGAAGAGAGAACAGCCTTGGATCAGAGCAGAAAATAATAAATMAAATGTAAAAGGTTGTTTCTGGGAACCTGAGTCTAMGAGGTACAAGTGGTCACATCAAAARGACTGCCAGAGTTCAAGAAACRTTTGGAAAATGCTCTCAGGCACAGGGTGGGATTCTTGGGGTTGTCCTGTGCAAGGCCAGCAGYTGGACTGGATGATCCTTGTRGGTCTCTTGCAGTTCTAGTTTTTTTAGTTTTCTTCCAGGTTATTTTATGACAGGTCTGTTATTCTCTGATACCAGTTGTAGGGTGGTTTTTTCATCAGTTTTATTACATACTTAACAGGGCCTGTTCATATATCTCAATGAGGAAGAGATTATTGTGATTAATGGGATTTGATAGATTGGAAATTGAACCAAGATTAACTCAGTTGGTCAGAGCGTGGAGCTGATAACACCAAGATTCTGGGTCCAATTCCTCTATGGGTCCCTCACTCAAAAGCTGRACTKCATGATCCTTGTGGGTCCTTCCAACTCAGAGTAYTCTGGAAATTCTGTGAATGTGACAAAATTTTGCAGCAGTTGGTGGGAGAGCACTGAGCAGGAGCTCCAGGGATGCTGGGAAGGGGCATGGTGGGTGCATGAAAGAGGCTGGGTGACAGGAGATCCTCAGTRTCAGGGCACCAAACCCCAGTGTGGTGGTGATCTCTCCCAGATTTGTGTTTCTATGATGATTTTAGCAGCCCTGTAATTACCCACAGCTCACAAACACTGAAGAAAAATCCCTGTGTAAGAGTTCTGATGTACACGAGGGGTAGGGGCAGAGCCACCAGCTCAATCTGAACTGCAGAGTTTAGCTCCAGAGTTCTTAAMTTTTTGGATGATCTGTGTGAGATGGCTAAGCCTAATTCTGCAGGGAAGAGTCCTTCCACTTCCCATTTCAGCATAACTTTGAAAATAGGGTTTAAACTAGCATAAAAAATGGTTGGTTTTTGAAAATGCAGACTGCCCCTGGTGTGCATGCTGTTCCCTTGAGTCAGACACTTCAATTTWGTGTTTAGGTTGAACCCCTTTGACAACTTTTGGGCAGAATCCTCAGGAAAACAGCTGCATTTTCTGGGAGATGCTGCAAAAATCCATCACTTAAATTTTGTCCTTGCAAATCAGGCCTGTGAGTTGTTGCTTGCATKAATCATAAAACCCTTAAGACAGGAAAAGACCCCCAGGAACATCAGGTCCATGGTTATAGTCAGAGATGGGCTTAGATCTGAATCTAGAGGACTCCCACAATTTCATGGAGTTTCAATTTGATGCCTGCCATGTGATTTTCATGGCAGACTTCATGAAATTTCAGTTCAGCTCGGATTTTTCCTGGGGTTTGGTCTGTGTCCCACCACCCCCCAGAGAATAATTTTTATGATTTTCTTTAGAAACTGATTTAAACTCTTTCCTCACTTTGTGTTTGAAGTATTTTGCCCTGCATGACTTAATTAGGTCACAAGAAGTAAGCAGCAGGCCCCTGCCCCACTGTTGCATTCAGCATCATTAGTGTTTGTAACTTGCTCTGTTATTATCTAAAAAGAGTTGCACAATTATTTTTATTTCAGTATATATAATGCAATTTAGCCTACTGAAAAGAGAGGGAGGGGAAAAAAAAAAAAAAAACAACCCAGCACTGATTGTGATAATCCCACAGGACTTAATTAGTTCACAGCTTCACGATGCACTGGATAATGGGAAGATATGAATTAAATAATAAAGGGGGAAAGAAAAGTTCTAATGCTCACTCAGTACCTGTCCACTTCCACCTTGGCTGCGTAATGTCAGCCTGGTGACACTGATGAGATGAGCAAAACMCCCTGAAAATGCGTGGAGAGGATGCTCATGGGAGGGTTTGCCCAGGCTGGGATGGCTCTGAACCCATTGTGCTTAGTGAGCCATCCCATGATTATTCCAGATCGCTGGAGCAKCTAATCATGATGCAAACGTGCTGCTGAGGCACTGCTCCCCTGCTCCCACTCTCCCTCCTCTGCTGGCCCTCACWGGTGATGGAATGCTCAGCAGAGGGCAGATTCCTTGTTTTGAGTCAGTCACAGGGAGTCTGAACTGTATCCCAGCCAATTCCCTGCAACTTAACCTTCACAGGGAKAGGTGGTTAATAAAAATGAACTTTCCAGATAAAAATGCCATCCTGAATTATGGCTCCACCTGGATGTGCTGCACTGCCTTGAGTTTGTTTGTAACAGGGCTCTAAGGGAAGGTTTGGASATTTGAGGGGTGGCTTAGAACACTGAGCATCTGTGAATTCTTAGCTTGGTGCTGATACAGAGATAACTGCTTTGTTCACTTCTCATAAAAGAAAAAAAACAAACAAACCTACAAAGGCTGTATCTGAGATATGTACAGACACCTCAAAGATCCTTTCTGTTCAACTTCCACTTGATGTAATCAGGACTAGCTCCTCAAATCCCTTGCATTCCTCTGCAGGTCTTAGAGTTTTTATTTTCCAATTATATTGCCTTTTTTTCCCCACTTACCATCTCTCTGAATGCCACAGTGTTTGGAGGTGAGGAAAGAACTGATGTYATTTCAACCATTGGAGATGTTTGGTGATTTACAAGGGTGGCAAATCCTYGGCAGCTTTCAGGGAGTGTGGAATGGTCTCTGGAAGCCCAGGGTCTCTGGKTGCTTCAAGCCACGTCCAACCAGGCCTTGGACACTTCCAGGAGTGGGGAAGGAACAGAGC